CAATAAGGTTATATTAAGATGTAGAAATTTTGAAAAAGGGTTTTTGTTAAGCGAAAAAAAAAGAAGTGTGATTGAATCAGTGATTTATCGGATATTTTATATCTGAAATTCTCTTATTCAAAGGACGAATGAATATTTTTATATAGGTAACGATAGCAATGTCGGATTAATATGTAAATCGTTTGTTTTTTAATTTAAGTGTGTAAAAGTATACAAATCGATATTAAATACGTATAAATTGACCGATTCGGTTAAAATTTATTAATTTGGGCTCTGACCCGTTTGACCCGGGTTAGATCAAAATTTGACCCGTGACCCGTCGGGTCGGGTGACCCGTACGGGTCATCCGACCCGGGTAAGAGCCCTACGAGAGATGTTATCCGAGACATTCAAACTGTGATAATTAATATATACCGGTAGTAAACATATAACGATCGCTATAATATTAATTATCATATGGTTTGGAATGCACAAATAGTTAGAGTAGATTATCAATATACCTTGTAACGTAAATGCATGCTACGTACAACTGTATAAATTACCAAATAATGAGTGTGGTGTTCTATATAATTACCGAATATCGAAATTTGAATAAACCTGGCAGGCATAAAAATGCACGTCCGATAATGCCACATGATTTTGTCGTAATAGCACATAACTTTTGTAGAGAGTATTTCACCAAACTAAGACGAGATGCTATTGAAAGTATTTTTGTAAGTAATCCGATCAGGCGATAACACATATAGGATTAGATCTATGAAAGTTGTAGTAAAAGCAATTCGAAAAAATTTCCCCTGCAACTCGGGTAAACTAATAACTGCAATTAAACAGTTTTTTTTAAGATTTGCTTAAATTATCGTAGTAGATTATTTCTGCCCGCCCCATAATAAAATACTTACGGCCAGGAGAACAACACTCCCATGTGTCATCCATGAAACAAGCCAATAACAATTGAAGAAGAAAATTAGTGACGATCATATATGACGATACTCATTTCTCTAATAAAAACATAGTTCTGAAATTTTAAAATACCCATGGTTTATTAACAAGTAAAGCCGAAACTCAAAAGATTTTTTTTTCTAGGGTGATAAAAATAAATTATTATATGATACAAATTAAACCTTCAGTTTTTATATGTCAACTATGTCAACCATAATAAAAAATTACAAGCATACATTATTATACTTTTTTCATAAGTAGATAAAGTCTTGCTTGACCTTACTTCTACGATGTGCGTCATTAACGACCATTTATGGATCTGAAAGTTTATTCGTAGTTAGAATACCTCAATCCGAGACAATAATTTTTCCAATAAAAAATAAATTTTTTTTTTTTTATTGCTTAATTTTAAACGGAAGTATGACTTGAGCCAAATTCCAGAAACGATTTCGAGTTTTTTTTACAATAATCCTTGTCTCTTCAAATCGTCATAAGTCTTCTTATTAAAGACATTTCCATCCTGATCTTCAAATTCTTCCATCGTATCCGGTTTGAATTCATCAGTTTTACCCGAACTTTTTAATTTCTCCCATACTAGGGTTTCAATTACAATATTGGTTAAGAAAGATTCAATAACTAGCAATGGATACGTAAATATTTTAATACTTACAAGCATATGCATCTTCTATCAATGTGATTTCGTGAAAATGTCGCGTATTTGGTATACCCAAACATCTCATACCGTGAGCGTGTCTCCATTCCTGAAAAATTTGAAGTATTTCAAAATATGTGATGATAATTAAATTTGAATAAAAAATTTAATTACCTGAAAATGTCTATCAAAAGCTTTTCTGCCCATGTAAACATAGTTGCCACATATTTCGCATGGGTATTCGACTCCAAGTCCGTGTAACTTATAAAGCCAGTACGGAATTGGTTTACCATCCCATCCAAGAGGCAATTTCAACGGATTATAAATTTTATCCTCATCTTCAGATTCGGATTCTATATCATCTACTTCTTCCGCTTCTAACTCCATCTAAAAATGATTATGAAAAATAGAGGCAAAATTTTAGGGTAAAAAAAAAAAAAAAGAATTTAATTGAAATGATAATAATAGCTTACTCTACGCTCTCTGTCAGTTAAGGCTCGCTTCCTCTCTACATTTGCTTTAGTGTCTTCTCGCTGTGAGCCCAATATTTCCGCATATTTGCGTATCAATGCTTCTATAAATGCAATTTCTCTTTCTCGACTATCTCTTTCTTTCTCCGCTTCTTTAATTAATTTTTCCTGTGTTTCACGATCTACGGATGTAATTCCTTGTTCTAACATTGCACTTGCAGCTTTTATGTGCTTTTTACTTGTTAAATGTGCATCAAATACTGTTTGTTTCTTATAATTCTTACGACCTAAATAATAATAGAGTTGAAAATGGTTTGATAAATTAGGTAATTAAAATTTTAAAACTAAGCAAAGGATATAAATTTAATAAATATATACAAGCAGCACAAAACAAGGCCTTGTCTTCGTCTGAACCTATTTGTTTTTCCCATCCAGGAAATTTTCCACTTTCCCATTGTTGAAGAAAACTTTTTCTAGTTGTCTCTTTAATATCTTCCAAATTAGAAAGTGGTTTTACCCTTCCGAAAAAGCTTTCTAAATAACTACGTAAATCTTCCAAATATCTAGTACGAAAAAAAAATTATATAATTAATTTACAACATATAAATTATATAGATTATAAAATTTGTACAAGATTGTATAAAAAAACTAACTTAATATATTCTCCGTGTTTATTTTCTTTGGGATACTCAGCAAAATTATCAAATTCACTCAAATAAGTTAAATAATCTAGCTTTTTCACATTTTTTAAATTCACATATTGCTCATGAAGAGCGTGTAAATCTAAAAATCGACCACTCCCTTCCTCTCCCGAAAAAAGTTTATCAAGTTCTGTGATAAAAAAGTAAAATTTTATTATTATTAAGCCTAAATACTGTAATTAAAAAATTGAAAGTTTTCATATATGCGAAAATTTACCATCTTCTTCACCATTTGATTTTGTTTGATTGATAAATTCTAATTCCAAAGGTTCAACAGTTTCATTAGGATATCGACGATGATAATCTTTTATTGCTTTTAGACGACCATAAAATTCGCTAAATTCTGAAGTTCCAGACAAAGCATCGATTTCACCTTTACGTGCCCTATATAAAAACGGTGAATCAGTTTATATTTGAATGATGAAAGAGATTTTTTTTTTTAGGAATCGTTTTCTGGTACCCGTCTGAATCAAGGTAGAGTTCATATAAAAATTTGCTTCTCGAACTGATCCTATCAAGGAAATCGCTAACTCGATGTTCACGCGCTAATCTCTCCTTGTGCTACAAGTACAGGAAGGAAATTATTAAAGCACTAAAGAATCATAAAGTAGAGTTTTTTTTCAAAACGTAACCCACAGATTTCGGATCGGTCATAAACTGATCGACGATAGCTTGTTCTAACCGTTCGATTTCTTCATGAGCTTTTCGTTGCTGTTCTAAAATACTTTCCATGCTTGGAATCTGAAGCGGTAAAAAATTGAAGTGGAGGTATTTATTGTAAATGGTTTGTACAACATGATCGATCACCTGAACAATTTCCTTAATTTCCAATTTTTTTTTTATCTTTATATCGCGGTTAATAGCCTCTTAAAATATATAATTTAATTCTAATGTCACGCTACGGAGATTATACCCGCGATCCCTGGTAATATACTTTTTTTTTTTTTAGTTATGTGAGTGCATCAATTTTTTTTTTTTTTACTAAAAGTAATTATACTTTAGTCCATGGGTAATTTTGAACGATACAGGAGGCGCGTTTGCTATGGGCGCTATAGGTGGTAGTGTATGGCACTTTGTAAAAGGTGCAAAAAATTCACCAAGGGTAAGATAAATAGAACATAGGTCTTTTTCTTTAATATGTTTCGATCTACACGTAAAAATTATCGATATACACATTATTCTATTTTACCGATTTTAAGATAGTTTATCAATTTTTTTTTCATTTTTATCCTAATCTTTAATTATAGGGTGAACGTATAATGGGTGCAATCACGGCGGTTAAGGCGCGCGCACCAGTATTAGGTGGAAATTTTGCTGTGTGGGGTGGTTTATTTTCAACTTTTGATTGTACATTGAAAGGTATAAGGCAAAAAGAAGATCCATGGAATTTAATCGCGAGTGGATTCTTAACAGGAGGAGTTTTGGCAGCTAGAGGTTTTTTTTTTTCTCTTAGTAATAAATCATTTAGTTACATTCGTAATCATTAAATTTATCGATGTAAAATATAGGTGGTGTTGGTGCATCAGCAAGGTCTGCAGCTTTTGGAGCTTTTGCATTAGCATTGATTGAGGGTATTTCAATCGCGGCATCTAAATTTTTCGCGCCACCACCAATGATTCAGGTAATCTAACATAAAATATCATTTTTGATAATTTAACATTTAAAATTGATTATTTATTATTTAATTTTTTTATTCTTCGCTTTAAGATGCCTGATTTACAACCACCTAACGCCAATGTTTCGGGTACATAATTTTATTAGGGAAGATGGTACATAGAATATTAGATTATAAAAAATATCATAATAAAAAACATATGAACTTTAAGGCTAAGATCCTTTTTTTTTACCTACAAATAATTTATTTCCAAATTTTGTAGAATAAAGTTTCCTTAGATCGATAATTTTAAAATTATGTAAAAATTGCATAGTTTATATATGTAACCTCATGAAATGTGAATTTTAAACCTAGAATTATGTGTAAAATTTTATATTTTATACTCAACAAGTTTACGTGGAATGCGAAGATAAATCATCTTAGTAAGTTTGTAATCTGTTAAGCCGTTTAAAATTTTATTAACATTATTTAACACTATAGAAGAATCAACCCTTATTTTATTTATTTAGGATTAGTGTCCGGTTTTAGCGAAAAAATGCCTAGGAGAAACGAGTGTGTTGCGAATTTGTATTATAGTCTCTGATTGTTGTTGAACGTTGGTGAGATGTTTGACGTTGAATGTTAATGGGATATTGGGTTTTTCTCTTGACAAAAATTTTTCACATTAAGTTAAAATTACTATCTTATGTTACTTGGTCTCTTAGTCATTTTACAAGTGTCTCAAGTTTTGTTCGTCTATTCTTTTAGATATTTATCTTTTTTACATCAAGCTTTTTTTATCGGTTGAAAATACGGATCTTGGAATGCTATATAACTAAAGTTTTTGGTGATCATTTTCTAAACGCATTTAAACGCATTCTGGGTCATCGGATAAATCCTCCATCCTGAATCATGTGAAAAAACAAGTTTGTGAACTTGATACAATATAATTATATCCTGATTAAGACTTTTGGTGGCGAAGAATTATTGATTATTAGATAACGGCAAGTGTTATTTAAAAAAGACATTTTAACTTTAGGAAACTATATTTCAAAAAAAATAAAAATAAATCTATTAGTATATATATTCATACTTTATTTAATAATAAACTAAATTCATCGATTGCATACAACATTTGTTTAATGTCAATCGCCAATACTCATAAAGCCAAGAATGATACAGTTTTTCAAAGCCAGATACGGGTATGAATAATATGCGAAGGAGTTTTGAATGTGAATTTGATTAGGAAAGTTTTTATTCGAGCACGAAAATAGTTACCAAGCGAGCATTTGCTTCTAGTATTTGCATTCGACCTAAATTATCGACTCAATATAAAAATGGGCTTAGTTGGCTATGCAAAGTTGATTGGAATTGTTCACAATCCACTATTATAAAATTGTTTCTTTTCCTAAATTTTTTATATACATAACGATAACAAAGAATCGACTACTAAGTTTAGGGATGTTACGGTCCGGCCTTGGTTCAAAAGGCCAGGTCCAGGTGCAGACCGTGGACTAGACCAAGGTTTATAAGCTGGTCTACTAAACCAATCTGGTTCCAAGACTGGTCCGCTTTAGCCAATAGGAGTGCAAAATTTAGACATGCTTCTGAAAGTATATAATGAAATAAAATGTTGCAAAGAGAATCTCATCTGTTTCTTTAAATATAATTAACTATAAATTAAGATATTTCGATTTTTAGCTGAAATTTGTGAAAATTAATTATTTTAATCTGGCGTAAATGCCACTTCACCATCAGAGTTCAGTTGCTTGTTTTAGCAAGCATGTATCAAATATGAGCCTACCGGGCTAAGGGAGTCTTTACCTCCTGAGTTAATAGAGTTTTTCAATGTGTATATTATCTCGATGTTGTTTAAACAATTTTGTTAAGAAAGTCGTTATAATAGACCTTTGAAATGCAATGTTATATCACATATACTTAACGTTAAGTATAAATATAATTTATTCATTGAATTATATGATTACACATATTTGGTATCCTTACTATGAACCGACTTATTAAGTCCGGTCTTAATTTATGGACTGGGGACCGGTTCAAAAGACTGGTTCAGACTGCTATCTTTGCCAAAGTGTAGTTAATATTAGTGAAGTTATGCACTTTTGAAAAATCAAAATCTTGCCTATGAAACCGTCTTTCGCATTCTAACAAAAAAAAATTCCTTGTCAAATTTTGATATATACGCTGTTCTTAGCCTAACTCTACCCTAACACTAACCTTAATGTTAAAAGTTTTATTACTTTAAATCTTTCGTTCATTTTATTATTTTGAATTCCAATTTTTATTGGTGATCAACCTACACTAAAAATTTTACGTATCAGCCAATCATATTTTGAGATCAAGAAATGATGATCAGATGTAACGTGATAATCATCAAAACAATTTAAATTTGGCGTGTTTACCGAGTTTGTTTTTTTATTTTTTTATTTTCACTCTTACCTACTTCCACTTCACCCTTTTCTCCCTTTTGACATTTTCACTCTTACCCACTTCACCCTTTTCTCCCTTTTGACTATAGGTGGGATGAAATTCATTTTCAACAAAACTTTTTATTAAGAAAGGTAATTTCACCCCGTCTATACCTTTGATCCATATGTTTAAAGACCTACTGGTTCTATATGAGGAGTCGGTTATGTTCTTTTTTAAACATATACAGTAGTTACAGCAGTCTGGCTTGAGATACGGGCTGGAAACAGCGGCGGCAGCAGACTGGCTTGAGATACTGCTGTAGTAAACTTAAGTGCAGAAGGTGAACTAAGTTGAAGAACTTTCTTCGCTCTATGCTTTACTTCGTAGCTTTTTCGACCTCCATGTTTTAAGATCTACTGGTTCTATATGAGGAGTCGGTTATGTTCTTTTTTAAACATACACAGTAGTGGTAGCAGTCTGGCTTGAGATACGGGCTGAAAACAGCGACAGCAGCAGACTGGCTTGAAATACGGCTGTGATACAGAAGGCGAACTAAGTTAAAGCTTCGTTGAAAAACAACCTACTCCTGTACGGGAGCGCAGCAAACTTTTATTCTGATTGCTGATTTTTGCAGATTATCTCATCTAATAAGGTAATGATATTGATTATATTTTTAAAAAGTTTACTTCGCTAATTTATTCTATTGATAATTTGTTTATAGTGCTAAATACAGTATTGCTAGTAAATAAGGTTGGTTGCACGAAGCAATGGTACGTGAGATTATAGATTTCATGAGAGGTAAACGTTAAAACATTATGTTACGTCCAAGAATATTTCAATATAACTTAGACATTATAGTTTAAAACTTTATACATTTTTTATTATCTTCTAGAGTAAGCGTTTTTTATACCTTCTTATCTCATTTATTCATTTATTTTTTATTTTTTTTTTTTTTTACAGTACTTCGTGCACTCTAATTTTTATTTTTTTGAATATTAATATACAAGATCTTGGTTCATAGAATATTATTTGTGCTGGAATGATGTCATTAGGCTTCGAGTTTTGAAATTTTGTAATAACGCTTTATTAAAGCCAATTTAGATATATAAAAATATTTTCAAATAAATAAATTTTTTCGCAAAACGATCGATTTACCGAAAATATTTTTGCAATGTCATATAAGAATTAGCCAATAACAATCTACGCTGGGCCGGGTTTATTTAGAAAAAAGTTTCGAACTATAAATTAAATTTGTACAGTATGACCTTTGTTAATAAATTAATAAAAAAAGATGTGTACTTAAGAAATATCTGAATTATTTACTGCTGTACTATATAAATATAAATAAAAATCTTAAATTACAATCATTTTAGTACTAAGATTGTTTAATATATTGAGTCATCAATCTAGTATGCCGGTAAAATTAATAGTAGAGGTTAGTGTTGTTAGGCGAAACCTATTTCCAAATAGCGAAAGACGAAACCTAAGCCCCAAAAAAGAGACAAAAGTCGAAACCTCTTGGCAAAATGTCGACATTCTGATGTCTTGACGAAACTATCTTACGAAAAGTATGGCTTCGTAATCTCCAAGTCATGCGGCTTAAATTAGAACTATACAAACAACAATAAACTTTTTTTCTGGCTAGAAACAAATGGATCGCTGCTTTCTGTGACGTAGGCTTAGCTAAAGTCACTGGTAGAAACGCAAACCT